ATGAACTGTTCCATTTTTAACTTATTTTCACATAGCTATGAGAAGCGTTAAACATGGATGCGCGTGCGGTTGGCGTACTGTATTAAAGCTTTAATCAGGATAAAACCGTACATTAAAAGCTAACAGAAGCAGTAGCATTTACAAATAACAGCATATCTAAAAGTATGAGACAACAACAAACAAAAAAACATACCATCAAGAGCCGTGCTTGCACAGGTTCTGCGCGATCTTCTTCACTAATATCCTCTGCATCTCAATCGGGCTCAAATTGTTAAGCAATATAGACGACGCCATTGTTTACAATACAACCGGAGCACATGCCGCTGAGGTGAGGGGCAGGACGTTTAGACACGCACTAGAGGCGGTTTAGCCAGTCAAAACACACTGGACTAGCTAACCAATCAGAGCCCATCACATATTTCTGAGGGAGGGGCTTCATAAAAGTAGGAAATGATCAGCACGTTTATCAGAGAAGGGACAGAGCGGTGAAGAATAAAGGTCAATTATGTGAAAAATAATGCATTTACAAAAAAAAACGAAGTATTAACACATGTTAGACTGCACCCCATAAACACAATCAAGCCTAGAAAAAAAAAAGTCAACCACCCCTTTAAGAATAACTTACTTCTTATATTTCAGCAAATCACGCCAGTTAAATGCGCTTAATGTGTTTGCTAACAGCAGTTTAGATTTAGAATCACTAGTAATGCCAGATTTGCTAATAAATCACTCTTTTGATCTAATCAGTCAAACTGGTTTGCAAAAATATCTGAGACTGTTCGTGATTCAGTTTCAACAGGATTCAATAGTACAGTTCACTCAGGCACTGGATCGTTTGCAAAAGTAACAAGATATTTTATTTTAAACCAAAAAAAAAAAAAAGAAGTGCGCTGGATGAAGTAGATATTTAACTACAATTAATTGTAGGAAACAAATGTTTGTCATTGTTTGTCAATGAAGCAGCTCTTTATTGCGTGTGCAGCTTGTACTGCAGGTAAAGACGGTTTATATATTTATATATGATATATATTTAAACGCTATCAAAATATAGACACTCTTTTTGAAAGGTTAAAATGTCCCTGAATCCAATCATAAAGTGATAATTTTACTATGAAAAGGTGATGAATAACATTTGGCTAGTGTTTATTATTGTTGAAGTGCTTAATTTCACATACATGATATTATGAAACGATACGAATGCCGTTCACACCAGCTATCTTAAACTCATCCAGTAACTGCACTATACGTCCTTTAAGAGGGTTGCGGGCTGTGGGACCACTGGCCTGGAGAGAGGGAAAAGGTTTTGAGATGTACAAACATACAATGGAAGAGAGACAAAGAACCAGAGAGAGAGAGAGAGAGAGAGTGAGCGAGAGACACTCACACATCGCAGTAATGTCAGTTCATCTTGGCCAGCCTGAGTGAATCCAGCTCCGCTCTTCAACACCTTCACAGCCACATGCCTGCCTGACCTGCAAAACCACAAACAAAAACACTTGAGAACTTTTAAACACACACACATCAATATACACAAAGCAACAAATAGAACACAACGTTTCAGTACCTGAGGTCAATGCAGAGCCATACAGTAGAGAAATAACCCCAACCCAGCTTTGACAGAACCTTGTATCTCTTATTAAACACATCTCCCACCTGGATTGGGTGATACCCACCTATAGAGGGAGGTAAGTCAATGAACTGTATACATCTATAAAAATAAAGGTTCTTAATTGGCATCTGTGGTTCCATGAGGAACCTTTAACATCCATGGACACTTTTTTACTGCACAAAGGTTCTTTATGTTCTTTACACTATGGGAAACATTGTACTTTTAAAGGGGTCATATGATGCGATTTCAATTTTTCCTTTCTCTTTGGAGTGTTACAAGCTCTTGGTGCATAAAGAAGATCTGTAAAGTTGCAAAGACTAAAGTCTCAAATCCAAAGAGATATTCTTTATAAAAGTTAAGTCAGCCACGCCTACCTAAAACGGCTCATTATTGACTACATGGCTCTTCAGTCTCTTTAATTTGATTACAGATTTAAAGAGGCTCACCGTAGCAGTAATCTCTTGGATCTTCATGTTCCTCTGTGTAATCAGGTTTAAGATGTTTATCATTCCTAAGTGTTTTCAGCTTAGAGTCCATAACTACATCAGACCTGCATTAGAACCCAACATATACATACAGTATATTATCATTCTAAAGTGACATCTGACTATTCATTCATGCACACACATATGATGCAAAAAATAGTCATAAATCTTTGCAAATGTAAACATAAATAATTCAGTGGTTGCTGATGTAATGGAGCATATACAAAAGACTAAATCTGTGCTGTGTATTCTTAGACAACCATAAACGTCCATCAGAGGTGGAAGCACAGCTCTTCTATCCTGACACATTTGGCTCACCGAGGGTCAGACAAGCCAGTACCGCATTTAGATCTCAACACCCGCTGCTGTGGGAGTTTACAGCAGGATCTGAACCGTGACCTGAAAATATATCATGCCACTGTCTGTCTGTCACTCATGTCACACAAGACTTTGGAGGGCAACATGAGGGAATATTCCCACAGTCAAACTCACTGTAACATTACTGACACATGTGGAAAAAGTACCATGATAATACCATTGTATGAATATGGTACTCAGTACCAGAGTATAAATCATAGTACTATTTAAATTACACCTGATACCATCACTGTACCATGGTACAACCACAGCATTTTTAAAAAAGTTTACTAAATATATGTGACCCTGGAGCACAAAACCAGTCTTAAGTCCCTGGGGTATATTTGTAGCAATAGCCAAAAAAACATTGTATGGGTCAAAATTATCGATTTTTCTTTTATGCCAAAATCATTAGGATATTAAGTAAAGACCATGTTCCGTGAAGATATTTTGTAAATTTCCTAACATAACTATATCAAAACGTAATTTTTGATTAGTAATATGCATTGCTAAGAACTTCATTTAGACAACTTTAAAGGCGATTTTCTCAATATTTACATTTTTTTGCACCATCAGATTCCAGATTTTCAAATAGTCGTATCTCGGCCAAATATTGTCCTATTCTAACAAACCATACATCAATGAAAAGCTTATTTATTCAGCTTTCAGATGATGTAGAAATCTCAATTTTGAAAAATTGACACTTAAGACTGGTTTTGTGGTTCAAGGTCACATATATATTATTAATATTATTAACTGTGGTACAAGTGGATTTTGGAAATTTACAACATGCTATGAAAAATAGAGAATTTATTTTAAATTGATATAGATTTTTTTTCTTGCATTATTTGTAATTTCTGATTTTAAGCAGGATTTATAGGTAACTAACCTGACAGCAGTATATACAGTATATATAATTTATAATTATATAAATTTACAAATTAATTTATTCATTCTAAACTTATAATTCTATAATTACTGTGATATGTCTGTGTTAAAACAATGAAGACCAGTCAACACGACTGATGTGAGTGTAATGGCAGCATAATTTACCTCAACTACAGAAATATTGATATCAACCTAAGTATGTCATTACGTCAAATACTTAAAATAAAATTCAAGAAATGTCAATAAGGTGGATGGTGTTAAATGATCCCAAAAAAAGGTACATGACCTGAAGTCTGAGAACCAGTGCTATACACCAATAAAGCACATACTATATATAAAACAACATAACTCATCTAAATATAAAACAGACATTTTCATTATATAAGGAATAACTTCTGCCAACACCAATTGGGCAGAACAGTATCCCGGTCCTGAAGACCAGTGTTTACTGGTCAAACTCTCTCATTACTGGAGCCAAACTCTCTCATTTCAACTTTTTATAGAAGAATTGAAAGACATTTACTATACGCCTACCAAAGGCCACACACATAATCTCTGACCCAAAAACAACAACCCAACAGCAGCAGCAGATTTTAAATATATTTTTTGTAAAGCCTTTAAAGTAAAATATATACCGAGTAAAGAAGCGTGTTGTAGCTACTCACGATTTGGTGCAGATCATGTCCTTTGTGTTTGTTTGCATGATTTCATCAGAGGTCTGGAGCTGCTTATAGATGCTCATGATGCGGTGGCTGTGCTGCTCACTTTAAAGCATAGAAAGCAGAGAAAACACTGAAGCTGGCAAAAAACATTAACAAGAAGCTGCTGATGGAACATCCAGCTAAAATAAGCTGTACAAAGCCACAAGAAACCAACATTTCAAAGAATAAGATTACAATACTCTGCATAGCAGCAATAATTAAAAATGAAAACACTGGAGAGGGGGTGAGTGTTTATCTGTAACTTATTTAGGGCAGTAAGTATGATGCAGTATTTGGAATGGAATGTAAAGCACATTATACTCACACATGACATCACCATCTATAAAAAGACAGTGGTATTCACAAAAACACGTGCTGTGCAGTTTGGAGCGTGTGTTGCTGTGGTTTCTGTGCATTGTGCTGAAAATACCCACCAGTTATCTAGGAAAGAGAGAGAGAGAGAGAGAGATACAGTAGCTGTCTGCCGTTAATATGAGCTTGTTAACACTTACTAGTTACAGTATAAATACTGTAGAAATGGGGTTATTTGTGGGTGTGCATGAAGGTAGATGAACGAGAGAAATCTCAAATTGAAATGAATGTAGATGAATGAGGGATAGTAAATTGCATGTAACGTAAATATTTGTTCTAAACAAAACAGAAAATAAAACTTTTTTAACATTTAAATGAATTTATTATAAAGAGGGATAGTAAATATCACAAAATGCAAATAATAGTTGTGTACAAAATAAAAAAAAAAATAATTTTTCACATTTAAAATTTTAATAATTATAGAGATGTAGAGGAATGAGAGATAGTAAATAGCAAAAGATGTAAAAATTAGTTCTGAAAAAAACAAATAATAATAATTTACATGTAAACAAGAGGAATGAGGGATAGCAAATAGCAAAACATTAGACATGAACAAAATAAAACAATAAAAAACAAAACAAAACACGAAAATTGTACTTTTTAAAAAATATTTATTTGAATGGATGTAGAGGAACTTCATGTATGTTTAAAACAAAACAGAGCAATGATTTAGCAAACTCATATCATATTCAGGTCTCCGTTTTGGTATTTAGTGCCTTTCAATCCCACAATTTTCTCAGGTGTATTCCCTGTTTGATTTGGAAATGCTCGGTATTATCAGTGTTGCGAATACTGTTTCATATTTATTTCAAATACAGTCTATATAAACGTATTAAATCTATTTTATTAGATATATTTTATGGAAGACACTGTGCTATTTCAATCAGATGATTAATAAACACTGCTAATGAATAAAATCTGTATTTCAGGAAGCTTAATGTTAGGCTAATTCTCTTCCTAGCGTTCTCCCCTATAGGCTCTGTACTCTAAATGGGACATGTCTCAAAACTGCATCATGGGTAATAAATAGATCACAGCTATTCTCATACCACCAACTGCCAAAGTGATTATACAGTTTGACTGTAACACAAATCAAAAGCAATTATCTGGAGGAGAAAGCAGCTGAGAATTAATCACAAGGCACATAATAACATTAGCAATGAGAAGGATTCAGCAGGCCTTGAAAAGCTTGGAGCGGATGAGCTTATACGGGCTTGAGTTGAAGGTGTTTATCTTCCATTAAAAGTGTATTGAGCTTTCCATCGGCCTCAATACCATCAGCTGTTGATGCTTTGCTGCTGTGCTAAAATAGCCACCAGCATACAGTATATCACTGTTCTATAAGAGTAATGTATTTGAATTAATTACTACTTTTAACTTCATTTATAAAAGGAATAGTTTTATCTCCAAAACAGCAGTTATGCTATAGGTGATAAACACAGAGAATAGAGTGGGAAACAGAGAAACGACAACTGTTTCAAACTTATTTTAAAACGTTCAGTGAAAAGGATTTACTCTGTATATTAATTTTAATCCACGCTACATGAACCTTTTCATATAAACTGGGATAAATACAAAACTAGAGCCAAACTAAAACGGAAATGAGACAATAATAAATAGTATAGTGAATAAGTGAAATAATCATAACTAAAGGACATATGAAAGCACGTATTTCTGTACATTTCGAAATAAGGTGCATTAAAAGCAAATAAATCCTGGATTAATATGAATATTTTAATTAAAAACCTGTCTCCACTTACTATTCAATAACACTTTTGTGCATTTAATCTATTAAATAACAGCAGAGTGAGCGAGTTTTTGGATATGGTAAGTTTAAACTTATTTTAGTGAATAAAGTACCACATTTCAGCTTTGTTAGGATGGGTAACGTTACACAAAATCTTATTTTATCCTTGCTTCTAGGAAATCCTCGTATGCTTTCTAACAGCTGCTTGTGGCCGTAAACATTTCAATTTAACGTGGCTTTAAGCACTATGCATCGTTAAAGTTTCACTTTCACCGCGAATAAGCTGGTAAATGTGGTGTTTACATGTAATAATCGTAATATGAGTTTACGAACCCAGAGTCTCCGCATCAGTAGGAAAGCGATAAAACGAGCATCTTCCATCTGAAGACTTGTGTTGCATTTCGGGGCAACACTGTAACTTGATCAACTGTTCGGCGTGATGACGTTATATGTCTCCGACAGCGTCTGTAGTCACATTTAGCAACTTGTTAGCAACCGTCTTTTTTAAGAAACGTAACAGTTTAAAAAAATCACGAGTGGGGTGTAACTGGTGTGTTTTATGTCGTAGAATAAAACGTGAAATTATCTTGAGCCTGTGTGAACCACGGACCTTATTTTAGGGGATTTCACCAAAATCCCGTTGACTCTGGGACGATGGAACCGGAAGTGCTAAAATGCTAACTCGCTTCTGGGTTTTTGCCTACAAAGTGACATCATAGTTCCACCACTCTATTCTATATTCTATATTAATTAATATGACAAGCTGCTACAATGATTATTACGCTTGTAGTTAAAGCAACTGTATGTAAGTTTTTTTTTTACCTTCAAATATCAGTTTCAAAATCATTCTGATGGTACACTGATTTCTAATTAGACAATAGGCTTGTTTGAGATGCGCCTCGCCTGAAATGTAGGTGAGAGCAGGCGGCTGCAGTGAGGGGAGGAGTGAAATAAGCGCAGTCAAGACGGACAGTTCTGCCCTCTCGAA